GGGAGGGTCCCGACCCTGGCGCCTGGCAGTACAGGCTGGCACCTGCGCCAGGCCTCGCCACGCGGCGCGCTGGGGCCCGAGACTGGGCGAAGACGCCTGGTGTGAAAAATTGCAACGCCAGGTTCTCGGGGTCTCCCTCCCTCCCCTCGCCTCACCTCGCCTCCTCCCCGAGGAGCGCGCGGGCCGCAGCGGCGCCTGCGGCGCCTGCCCGGGCCGCTGCCCCGCGGGCTCGCGGGTGCCCGGCTTCCAGCACCTCCCCGCCGCCCTCGGCGCAGCCCCGCCGCAACCGCGGCGCCGCGGTCCCGCCCGAGAGGGGCCGCCGAGGAGGAGGAGGAGGAGGAGGAGGAGGAGGAGGAGCAGCAGCAGGAGGAGGAGCAGGAGGAGCTGTCACCCAGTTTGCTGGCAGGACGTTCAGTTCTGTCGGAAATGAAGGACCACTAGGGAAGAGATGCACGGGTCAAAAACCTCCGCCAGGCTCGCAACCTTTCTTGCAGTACCCGAGTTGGATGTATTGCTCTATACAAAGTTACGCATAAGGCAAGAATCTCCAGAAAAGTAATTTCCCTATGTTTATCCCCTCACTGAGCGCTTAACATGGATGTTGTCATTAAGTGCGTTCTTGCTGTCCTCACACTCTGTGCTCGCGCGTCGACCTACGTTGCGCATCGACCGACCGACCTGGGAGGAAGAGGAGGAGGAGGAGGAGGAGGAGGAGGAGGAGGAGGAGCAGGAGGGGCGGTCCCGCCCCAGGAGAGGCAGCTGAGGAGGAAGAGGAGGGGTAAAATTGCTGTTTCCTGCCTCCCCCCTCCCCCTCGCTCACCTCTGCGTCATGATCAACCTAGCCATCAACGGCATCCTGATCATCACCCTTGCCATCAACAACAACAGCAGCAACAACAACAGCGATACTACAACAACAGCAGAAGCAGCAGCAGGAGCAACAACAACAACAATAGCATCATCAGCAGCAGCAGCAGCGTCAGCACCACCCTCATCAGCAGCAGCAGCATCATCCTCATCAGCACTAGCATCATCCTCCTCATCATATTCACCAGCTACAACAACTCAAACAAATACCTATACTACTACTACTACTACTACTACTACTACTACTACTACTACTACTACTACTACTACTACTACTACTACTACTACTACTACTACTACTACTACTACTACTACTACTACTACTACTACTACTACTACTACTACTACTACTACTACTACTACTACTACTACTACTACTACTACTACTACTACTACTACTACTACTACTACTACTACTACTACTACTACTACTACTACTACTACTACTACTACTACTACTACTACTACTACTACTACTACTACTACTACTACTACTACTACTACTACTACTACTACTACTACTACTACTACTACTACTACTACTACTACTACTACTACTACTACTACTACTACTACTACTACTACTACTACTACTACTACTACTACGACAACTACTCATACTACGACTACTACAGATAATACATTTGCAAATACGAGAACGACTACTACGACTGGGTACTACTGAATACTACTACTACTACTACTACTACTACTACTACTACTACTACTACTACTACTACTACTACTACTACTACTACTACTAATACTACGACGACGACGACGACGACGACGACGACGACGACGAGACGACGACGACGACGACGACGACGACGACGACGACGACGACGACGACGACGACGACGACGACGACGACGACGACGACGACGACGACGACGACGACGACGACGACGACGACGACGACGACGACGACGACGACGACGACGACGACGACGACGACGACGACGACGACCGACGACGACGACGACGACGACGACGACGACGACGACGACGACGACGACGACGACGACGACGACGACGACGACGACGACGACGACGACGACGACGACGACGACGACGGACGACGACGACGACGACGACGACGACGACGACGACGACGACGACGACGACGACGACGACGACGACGACGACGACGACGACGACGACGACGACGACGACGACGACGACGACGACGACGACGACGACGACGACGACGACGACGACGACGACGACGACGACGACGACGACGACGACGACGACGACGACGACTACTACTACTACTACTACTACTTTTTTAGCCAGCGAAAGGGCCAACGGCGGTTAACCGTGCACTCCGGCGGGGCGAGAGAGTGCCGAGCAAGCTACGAAGATATAGCTTTGAGCTGGTGAGTGAGGAGCGTAGGGCGCCCCGAATTAACCAGTTGAGGAGACCTAAAAATCATCCGCCTCAAGGAAAGCTCGCCCTTACGTGGGCCGGCGGAGATAAGGCCGGGCGGAGGCCCGTCGGAGGGGCCGGCGGCGCCGGCCATGACGCGCGAGGCGTCCTTAAAAGTCAGAAAGCTGCCAGGCACTGGGGAGCGAGCCCCCTCTGGAGGGGCGCCCTCGCCGGCAGGGGAGGTCGGGCGCTCAGATGGCTGGGAGAGCGCACGCACGCAGGGGACGGCGTACGAGGGGCCACGGCGGTTGCCTAGCGCGGGCGGTTCACGGCAGGGCCTTCACGGGAAGGACTCTTGGCTCGCTTCTGACCAGACGGCCCCTCCTTGATGGCAACTTCCGCCTTCATCTGGACAGCTCGCGCACGGTTCTGCTCAATAGTCGCTTGCACATGAGCTTCGTGGCACTGTCGGGCGAGAAGTCTGGACGAATCGGCCCCGATCGAAGGCGGAACGGCGGCCGATGCAATACTTTGAAGACAATTGCGACCGCCATGCCCGAGCTTAGGCAAAAGTGTGAAGATCTTCGCAGAGACAAGGGGTCACGCCAGAGAAGAAGCTGGCGCCTTCCATAAGGCTTCGGGCGTCGGCGGCGCTACTATCGAACAACGATAGACCGGCCAAGGCTGGGGCTGGGCGCGCCGAGACCAGGCCAAATGATGAGGAGCTGAGGTCCTGGCTGAAGCCCCCGCACTCCATGATCTGCGCGTTAAAGAGGGTCGGCGTACATTGATATGCTGCCTCAGTCCATCTGCTCAGGTCACCTTCTGGCAAATGCTTGAAGAGCTGCCTTAGCAACACAGAGACCCGCTCTTGTAGGGCGGGCTTGGCCTTGTCCTCCGGGGTGGCCTGCTTGTCAGCGAAGATCTTGCGGTCGTCAAGAAAGAAAGCCACCGGCACCCGCAGTCTGGACTCAATGCTCCAGTACCCGTCTTGAAGTAGTCGATTCCTCACTAAATACAACCACGTATCAGGGATAGATGACGTCATTCCCGGCCCGATAAGCCCACCGATGGTGGCCCTCGCGAAGGTGGTCAAAGTGGGGATGTTCTTGCCAGCGGCTAGAGATTCGACACCAACGGGGGCGCCATCCTTATCGATGATCACTGCGCTGCCCCGCGACTGGCCATCTCCTTGAACGAGTAGAGACAGGTCGCGCAGGAGGGCGAGGGGCATTGCTGCGGCCCCTTGCTGATTCACCAGGTTCACGGCTGCGGTTATCTCGGCTTCGTCGCCATTTGTCAACTGGGGACAGAAAGCTTTGCAAACGACTCTGCAAATGGCCCCAGGCCGAGGAACGCGTCGGACACCTTCCTCAGCGCTGATGTCGAGTCTGCCACCTTCTGCTCAAGATGCCTGGCAGCTTCGCCTAGTGAGCCCGCCAGCATGGCGCGAGGGCTGCTTTTCAATGGGCGAGGCTAGGAACGACGCGAGCAAACTGCGGACCGGGGTGAGGCTGAAGCCCTGGTGGAGGCCGCGCACGCGCTGCCAGGCGAGGGGCGTCACATCCCAGGCAAACAGCAGATCGCCGAGACCTTTGGCGATATGAGGTCGTAAGGTGCTAGAGAACGGCACGCGGTCCGACAACAACCGGGAGGCTCTGCTCGGGTCGATGATCGCCCACAGGAACTCCGCCTGAGTGACCAACATAGTGCCCGCCTTCATGGGGGTGTTCCCCAGCGCAACTGGCCTGCCTGCCGGTGCAAGCCCTGATTCAAGCTTCAGCAGCTTCTCCGAGCCCCGACCTCCGTCGATTTCCACTTGGACGACCTGACGAGTGCCCATAATAGGGACAGGGCAGATGACGCTTTCGCGGCCGTCCAACGCCTCCCCGACGCACTCTGAAAATTTCGCGTTCTCCAGAGACAACGCAAGGCAGCCGAGTCCGCCGACGATTGTCACGTAGTCTCTCTTCGCTATATACTCCGACCACACGTCGTCCAAAGGGCAGCCTGAGGCGTCCAGCTCGGGCAGCAATAACGCATGAGCCTGCAAAACCCTGAACGATTTGGCCTGGCTCTGAAAGTCGCGGGCGTACTTCTGCTGCGCAAAGTAATAGGCCGTGAGCATTGTTGGCAAGCCCACCAAAGACTGGATCTCCAATCCAACTCGGCGTTCGCCTAGGTCTGCCCGAACGGCCGCAGAGATGTCCTTCGTTTGCTTGATGGGGTTGATTTGCAGCGGGCGGAGCAACTCATGGAGCCTGACCAGCTTGCTAAGACCGAGGGCGGTGCGCTTATCAAGGCCGCCGAATTCACGAGGGGCCTGGCCTTGGACAGCCACTTCTTGAAGCAGATCTGCTCGTTCTGGCTTAGCCGGTACCCGTCCGGCAACACAAACCCCTCGCTCTGATACGGAGACGGCGACTGCAATTGCGCAATGAACGATGCTCCCTTCCATTTCTCCAAGGGGGGCCGGCCCCTTAGGCTGCCTGTGCCAGCGGAATCGTGACTGGCCATCAGCGCCTGGTAGAGCTCCGCGTTAGTCGCGTCCACTGCAGAGTCCCCTGACGGGGCCGGCGCCCGGCTGGCTGAGTCGACTGGTGCAGCGACGCCAGAAAACCTGCCAAGGGATTTCACACTGCCAAGGCCTATATGGGGCGCAACGTTCCAGGTGGTCTCGAAGCGCGCGACAAAAATTGTGACCTTCAGGGAGGACGCCAACCGCAGAGTAGCCAGATACCTCGCTTGCGACGTTCGACGA